AATTTGCGAACTTAAAATGTTCCATGTGTTTAGTGTTTCTTGTTCAGTTCGACTACAGAGAAGCGGTGGGCAGTTCTACCCCAGCATATGTGTGGTATATTTCAGGAATGTTTAATATACTATTCCGTAGCTCTGGCATTTGTAAACAAGGCTTTGTACACTCATTACTGGTTGTAGTTTAGGGGTCATTTATTCAATAAACACATACTGAGTACCTACTATGTACTAGGCATTTTTTTATATATATATGAGAGATAGGACAGCAAAGAAAGACATATAACAAGTCAAAAACAGGTGTGTAAGTAAATAGACTATAATGCCAGGTAAGGAAGAAACTAGGCTTCCTGCTTTACTGGGGGGGGAGGAAATGTGGGTGGGGCTTCCTGTTCTTGGAGGGCCTCTCCCTCATAGTCTCATTTACATAAAGACCTTAATGAATAGTGAGGAGGAATCTTTTGGTGATTTGGGGAAGAAGTGCCCCAGGCCCTGTTAGATGGAGCCCTGAGACAGCTGGGCAGCTGATATGGCCTGGGCAGAGCCAGTGAGAAGGGAGAGTACCACCTGGGACTGGCCAGGGTAGCCAGGTTCCCTAATACCTAGTGACAGTTATAACCTCAATTTTTCCTCCAGGGCAGGAATGATAAGCCAAACAAGACACAGAGAGCTCGCTAATGAATCAGTTTATTGCAATGCACAGAGAAGCAGAGAAAGCAAATGAAATATATTTAAAAAAAAATAGGCACAAAAATAGCTAACAAAGAAAAAACAAGTACAAGAATTCTAGTAACAAACTAAACAGCAGGCATCCACAGAGAAAACTGTCCCAGCTGGACTGCGAGATGGGCCCTTCAAGTGGACCCCACATGGGAACAGATTGCCACCAAGGTGCCAACAATGCAGCCAAGGACTTTCCAAGCCAACGTGGCCTCTGCGGATCGATTGCTTCTCGCTGATGCCTCTTCAGAGTGAATATTTACTGAGAACAGTCACGGTGAGGTGCATGCGGAATGCCAGTCTGAAGGCACTGGGACTTACCAACCCAGAAGGTGGATTATCTTGCCTTCCAGATGTCAACCTCGCAGGAAAAGTCTAGAGCCCAACTTGCCTCATTTGCCTATCAGCTCACAGTTGTCAACCTGTGAGGTGACGATCAGGCAGCTGCTGGGTTCAGACAGAACCTCTGTGACAAGGGAAGGCTCCAAATGGAATTGGCCTTAATTAAAATATCTGTTTAATTAGATTCATAGGAATTCTTACACAGCAAAACACACGAGAGAGCCAGTAAGAGGAAAGGCGTCTCACATAAAACGCAGGTCACAGGGTGGGCCGATCACTAGTCCACGGCGGCCCAGCTTCAGCTTCTGGAAGGTCAAGGCAGCATAATAAATTGCAAGGAGCGTCTGTTATCAAGCCATAATCTCCCATTCTGTCTCCTGTGAACACATCTGCTGTTTGTGTCCTGGGCCCATTTACCTAGATATCGCACCATCCTGCAATGCCTCTTATCCCTCCCCCTATCCAATCTCTCTCTATTTCAAGGCTTCATATCAGCCCTGCCACATACAAAAACCCTCCCCAAATTCTAAGTCCATCTTAGTGCTGAAACTGTGGGTGAGAGAGTTTGTAATGCTTGATGTTCTTCCAACAAGAGTGTTCATACACCCTGTGAGCTCCTACCAGGAGTGTGTGGGGCAGGCGTTTGGCACAGGGGGTAAGGTGCCAGGAGGGACACTGCATTCCATGCTGGAGTGCTGGCTTCAGGTCTTGACTCCACTTCAGACTCCAGCCTCCTGTTGATGCGCACCCCGGGGGGAGGCAGGTGGAGACTCAGCTGCTTGGGTCATTGCCATCCACTTGAGCGATCCAGATGGAATTAGCGGCTCCTGGCTTCAGGGTGGCCCAGTCCTGGTTGTTGCATGCATTTGGGAAGTGAACCAATGGATGGACGATCTCTTTCTCTCTCTGTGTCTCTCGGCCATGAAAATAATTTTTTATTAAGGAGTTATTTTATTTTATTTGAAGGGCAGAGTTACAGAGAGAGAAGGAAAGAGAGACAGGTCTTCCATCTGCTGGTTCACTCCTTAAATGGCCACAATGGCCAGAGCAGGACCAGGCTGAAGCCAGGAGTAAGGAGCTTCATCTTGGTCTCCCACGTGGGTGCAGGGGCCCAAGGACTTGGGTCATCCTTTGCTGCCTTCCCAGGGCACATCAATAAGGAGCTGCATCGGAAGTGGAGCAGCCAGAACTTGAACCAGCACCCATATGGGATGCCAGCATCGCAGGTGGTAGCTTAACTGTTACACCATGAAATCAGTACTGAAAATTTTTTTAAAAGTGAGTTTGTGACCTAAAATGGCAAAGAGCCACCTCTTTTGGACAGTGCTTCTCAAACATTCAGTGTACACATGAACCATCTACATTTTATTTAAAATGAAATTCCAATTCAATAGCTTGGTGTTGCTGATCTTGGAGTGCACGGCATCAGAGGCCAGTCTGCCCTTCCTGTGTATGCTGGCAGGCTGCTCTCTGCCCTGTAAGCACACTGCGGGTTTCTGGACAGCAAGACCACTGCCCATGTTACCTCGCTCCTCTCTCAAGTAGGGACAAATAAAGAAAAAAAATACACTGTTGGGCCTAACAGGTGTTCTACAATACTGCTCCCAATGAGAGCATAACTAACAGTCACTAACAACTAAAAACTAACTTTACTAAGAGTTTTTCAAGGCCAAACAGAACAAAATCTCAAAACCCCAAAACTCCCCACCCCCAAATAAAGCCTGTCCTTTCTCTTCTAGTAGTAAGTTCCCTAACACTGAAATTTAAATATATCATGCATAAAGTTCATCATGGTTAGAACAAGAAGTGCGTTCGTTTGAAGGGATAATTCACTATAAAAGGCCATTTTTTTTTCCCTCACTGGAGATGTTCAGTGCAAGTAAATAATGTGGACATTAAAGAAGCCAGGATAAACCAAATCCCTGCCACGAGGCACTTGAAGGTGTAGATTCTGGATAAACTGTTTACCTTGCGGCGATGTTGTAATTTTTAAAAAATGCCAGAAGGGGAAAGTTCTAGAAGATGAGTTCGAGTGTAGAAAAGTGAAATGGGATTTCAGCATAAACATAGTCCCTCGCCCAACCTGCTGCCCTGAAGTTGCACAAGTTGTAAAAGGAGTTATTTATTTAGTCCTGTGGCAGATGAGGCTCACAATGGGTAAATGAAAAAAAAAATTGCAAGACATATGTGTAAGGAATGTTTTTATGTGTGCAAAAGGAATTTTTCATGTGATATTGTATAAATATATACACGTACTATTTGTACTTATAAAAATACCATATGTAATGAGAGCAAGGCATACATATTTATAAAAATACCTTTATCTAAGTAAGGCAGTAACGTTTAATGTTTCTTCAGTACATTCATATGTAACACATGTACATGAGTGCCAAAGGGAACATATATTTTGAAATATGAACCCCAAGTAAAATTCTCAGGAATGTGGGGTAGAATTAGGTATTGGCCCAAGGAAACCGGAGCAGCCGCCGGCATTCGAAGACAGGAATGGACGCTGGGTCTCTTATCTTCGGAGACTGTTTGTGCTTGTCAAGTTTCTAACAGCGCTTCCCCAGAATTCGGTATTTGACTTCCAACCTCGTGGCCATGTGACCTGCCAACTCGCATTTTCTCTGAGGCTGTTCACACTCCGCCCAAGGACTCCGCTTTGCAGAGCCGTGGCGACCGCTTCCTCTCCTGCGTCACCATCTCCTTAGCCGCGGCTGACAATGCAGCTTAGCGCGCGCAGACCCGGGTAGGGGGCGACGCAGCAAGGACCTCAGGCGCACACCTTCCAGGAAAGCCAGGCCCTCCTGGAGGGTCCCTGCTTTGTGCCAGGATTTCCATACAATCTGACAGTCCCCGAGCAGTGGCTCAGCCCGCCAGGTCCTACTCCCCGGGGTCCCAGCCCCCTCCCCAGGCCTCCGCGGCCGGAAAACGCCGCCCTTTCCTGTCTCCCACTTCTTCCCCGGACAGACGGCTCGAGGAGCAGGAGACGGCGAGCGATTAGGAAAATTAACCTTAATTAGCCGGGTTCACGGTCGGCCGCGGGCGGAGGGGCGGGGCGCGTCGCGGCCGGGGCCCGCATGACCGGCGGGCGCAGGTGCCGCCACGGGCGGAATTTTACACTCCCGGCCCGGCTGCTGCGCCACCTGCGCCCGCTCGGGCGTCTGGGGCCGCCGCCACCCGCTGGCTCCGGCTTCCAGCAAATCTCTTCGCCAGAGCCGAAGGAGAGGAAACGCCTCCCCCTGGACAGGAAAAACCTGCAGCGTCGGCGGTTCTCCGCGTGCCACTTTGCTCAAGCCGGGGGGGCCCCCGGCGTCTCCAGGGCGCCAGATCCACTCTCCGGGTTTTGGTGGCAGCTTCTTGGGGGAGCGAGCTAGAAACTGACAGAACGCGACCCTCCCCTTCTCCATCCCCATCCTCCCCCACCCGAGCCCGGGCTGCCGGTGGCCGGGCAGCGGAGCCTCGGCGCGGTCAGGTGGTCCGGCTTGGCCGTGGCCTCGCACCACGAGGGTCGGCTGCTGGGCACGCGGAGAGGTGGGCGCACGCGGCTCCGCGCGGGTGCCAGTGCCATTGTCTCGCGCACCGGGCCGGCTGCACCTCCGGGTCCCCCTTGGAGCCGAGCGTCCCGCGATCTTTCTTTGTGAGGACTTTTCTTTCTTTCCTCCGAGCGAGCAAAGCCGCATCTCTCGGGAGCGGCGCTAGGGAGTTCACGGCGAGCGCCCATTGTCCCAGGGCCCGGCGACCCCGCAGCCGGGGATCACGCGCGCGCGCGCCCGCCCTCCCGCGCGCTCCCCGACCCTCGGCCCCGGCCCCTACCCCTACCCCCCGGCCCGGGCACAGGTACCGCGGCGGGCAGGGTCCGCGCGGCCGCCTGCGCCCTCGGCCCCGCCCCGGCCCGCCCCCCGCGCCGCCGGCCCCGCCCCGCGCCGCCCCGCCCGCTGCAGGTTCAGTCCCCGCGTCCGGCGGCCGCGCGCTCAGTCTCGCTCGCACCTTCCGAGGCGGCCTAGGCGCCGGCTGGTGGGCAGGGCCCTGGCTGGGGGCTAGGGGCAGCCCAGAGAGACCTGGCTGTGGACCCGGAGCGCCCTCACGCCGGCTCCGAAAGGATAACGTAGTGAGCAGGCGCCGCGCCTCCGGCTGGATCTGCGCGCACGAGCGGGCGCGGCGGACGCCCGCGGGAGGCGTCGGTGCGGGGCGCCCGGCCCCGAGGCAGCGGCTGGGATCCGCGGCGGTTGCTGGTAAGTCGGTACCAGTCTAGGGCCTCTCGTGCCCTACCTGTCTGTGGGTCTGTCCTGCCCGGGGCCGCCGGCGCGTGCGCCGGTGTTGGATTTAGAGACCCGGCGGGAGCGGGCACCCCAAGCGAGGGCCTCGCCTGCCCAGCGGGTGGCCCGAGGAACCCAGGGGAGGTACTGCGAACCGGGAGCGGGGGTCGGTTGGCATGGCCGGGGGACGCAGGGCGCTCCATCTCCCTGAGGGTGGGGCCGCGCGGCCGCGCTGCACCCTGCGAGCTGTTGACAGAAGCCTTCTGGGCGCGCGGTGCCGTTCTGCATTCGAGCGCGAGCCGCACGGGGCTGCCGCGCCCCCCTCGTGGTGGGCCGAGCCCAGGGCCCCCGGGGAGCGCCCGGAGCCGCTCCGCCGCGGCGCTGCCGGCCGCGTGCGCCCTGCGCCCCGCGACCCTGACCGGGGACCTTGTAGCTCAGGCTCCAACCTGCCGAGCTGGCCGTTCTGATTTCGTGCTGCAGCGTTTACAAGATCCTCGTCTCTCCCCTCCCCACCTCCACCTTGAACTAAGTGTGTGGACGTATCCGACAGTGAGGACGAATGGATCTGGCCGGGCTCTTTTTTTGTTGTTGTTAAGAATGATCGTCCTCCACCCCCGCCCCCTCGATTTGGGGAGGCATGTGTTTCATCTTATAAATAGAAAGTAGCATATTTTTTGGCAGGACCGCCTTTATGCTGTACAGTCCAGGAGAGGTCAGTTTAAAAATAAATACGCACTTGAATGTTACGGTACCGAGAGCCAGGCTGTGGCTGGGACAAGCTGCCTGAACAGCAGCATCAAAGCCCGGAGCGCAGCTGTGTTGAAAGGAGTAAAAGCCCCAGAGTGCCGCCCAGGCTGACAGTGGAGTAATTACATTTTGGGTAAGGAAGGGGAAAAAGTGAATTAAACGGAGGGAGGGCGGGAATGGGGATGTCCGGAGGAGACTGCAGCCCCGTCTTTGGGGGGAGTGGGTGCTGACGGTGTGTGAAGCCAAGGCTGGGGGACTCTGGTGGGTGGGGACTGATGAATGTGTTAGGGAGGGAGGGATTCCCTCCCCACCCCCGACTCAGCCCTGACAGCATCCTGGAGGTTCTTGGGGTGCCCCCTTTTAAGAAGGAGCAAGAATTGGGGGGAGGGGCAGCAGATGTTCATGCTTTACTAGTTTTCTCTAAACAGCAGAGGGAGAGTAAAGCTCACCAGGAAGCCACAGTGATGTCCTGGGGGAGTCCTAAGTGTATTTAAACAACACCTGGAATGTCCTAACTTAGAAAAGAGCTTACATCTACCAGGGAGTGCCGCTTGTTTTCTGGATAGTTCCAGAAAGCTTCTCTTTGATAGCACCTGTAATTTGTATGAGCTCTTATGGGCAGTTAAGAATAAGCTACACAGGTGTGTGTGTGTGTGTGCACGCATGTGTGCACTACAACCCCTTTTCAGAATAGAGTTAAGCACTCAGGAATAAGTTGGGGGCGGTTGTGAAATGTTAAGCAGTATCACGTGTGAAAGAAACGAGAAAAAGGCCACTGATACATTCAAGGAGTGGATGAAAGGTCTTGGTGAAGACACTCAGAAGAATGCAGGCTTCCCGGTAGGCCGCACCCCTTGAGTGGGGTGCCAGCAGTCCTTGGTTCACAGCTAAGAACCTGGGAGGAGGCACCCTGACAGTTCGTGTTCCAGCGGTGTCTGCGGGAGAGTGAGGGGATGGGTCCCAGGACTAGAGACCTGAAATAAAACCAGCTCCCTCTTCCTCCAGCTGAGCGCAGCAGTTCGGTTTGTATCTCAGCAGAACGTGGAGAGGCAGCTAGAGTAATAAGCATTGCACATTTTTTTTTTTTGCTCTTTATTGCAAATTTAAATGTGGTGCAAACGCCTAAATGCAAAGCCAGGACAGTAGGTGCAGAAGGGCTCCCACAGGCCAGTTTGCCTTGTCTGTCTGTCCTCCTGCTTCCCCTTTAAATGTGCTGTTTTGTCTCATGTCCAACATAGTCACAAAAACTGCCCCTTTCCACTTAGAAAATTCTGGTATTCAGCAGCATTGAGGCTAGCATAGCTTTAACCTGTATCACCTCCGGAGGTTCAGCCCGTTAGCTACAGCTTCATCCAGAGGGTAGAATACAGTTCATAACTCGGAAAACCTCCAGGAAGACCACTTCGATTTCTTTCTTTTCTTGTATTTTTTTTTTTAAGTTATTGAGGCTGTTGGCTTCAGTCTGATTTCATTCAAGCCCAGCCTAATTTCTTTCTAACCGAAATGCTGTGGACCTATTTTTCTTCTAAGAACTAAAGGTCTATTTTTAAATGCGGCATGTTTGCCAGGCATCAAGTACAGCTGTTTGAAACAAGTCGATTCATCCAGCCACAAACTCTCCTTTCCCGAGTGTGGAAGCCCAGGAATTCTCCTAATAGCTTCACCTCGTTGCTTACTTTGGATGTTCAAAGTACTTGCTATATGGACCTCATCCTAGGTGCCAATAAATTGTGCCACTCAGCCTCTTGCTTTAATTAATTCCTTTATTTCTAGCAACCATTCCGTGAAAGAGGAACTGTTAATATACCCATTTTACAGGTCTAGAGACTGAGGGCAGATTAGTTCTATTACTTGTCCTAAGTTAGACGATAAGGAATGTGAACATGTAGTTTAACAGAACAGTGTGGGCATGCACTAGTGGCTGGAGCTACAGGACGATTAGGGGCGCTTTAGGGGGCTAGAAGAACCATGATGTTGAGAAAGCTTGCTGAGTCCCAGGGCCTGGGCACCTGTGCTAACTCTGGTCCCTTAATCATTGGGCAGGTCACTTAGCCCGGGCGCCTTCCTGGGGATGCTGATGTAACACCGAGGATGGAAGGCGCCCAGAGCCGCAGCGCAGGGAAGAGTGCTGGCCAGGTACATGTTTGCATGGTCCTCTCATTGAATATTCATAGCTCTGCTTTGATGGAGATAGGCGAGTTGCTCTTGTGTTCCAGATCAGAACACAGGCTCCGGGAGATGTAGTAAGCTGGCCAAGGTCACAGTGCCAAGTGAGTAGCAGAATCAGGGTTTTAACTCAAGTCTGTGTGTGACCGTTTCCTAGATACCACCCCCCCCACCGCCACATCCCTGGGCAAGGACGGAGGGCCAGGGGAACTATGACACCTGGTTCTCGCTGTGGCTTTTGACTCCCAGCAAGGAACTCACTTCATCTCCTGCCCGATATCTCATAGCCCCCCACCCACAGGATAAATGGCAGTCACTGCCAGCCTGGGGAGTGCACGTGCATCCTTGTGTTACGGATAGTGCTTTCCATACTGGATCACTGCTAGTGTTTAATTTACACCACAAACGAAGAGATTGAGCAGGTGGAAACGTGGGGGCCTCTGGAACGAGGAAGAAAGTCACGCCGCAGCAGGCATGAAGTGGAGCTCCCGGTGCACAGTGTCCTCGATGCAGCTGGCACAGGGCAGGGGACGTGGGGTCTGGTCCCCATGTCTGGATGGGCATCACGTCTACAGTGCCACATTCCTTTGGTCCTGGCGCATGTGCGGTAGACACAGCCACCGGTGCTGAGGGAAGGGCAGAGCCAGGAGCACGCGGGGCGGGAGGCGCTGGGCTCTGCTCATGCGGAAGTTGGGGTCTGTCACAGTTCATGCTTGCCCTGCACGCTGTTAGATAAGCTTCCTGGGCAAGAGAGGGAGAGCAAGGGAGCGAGCGAGCGAGCGGGGAGGCCTGGAGACCACGGACAACCCTGGGCGCTGCTGGCCTCGCTGCCTTGTGGTTGGCCATTGCTGGAAATACCTGCCCTGACCTCAAAACTTAGGGTGACAGCCTTGGAGCTGTCCATCCCCATTTGGAGTCTTTCTTTCCTGCCCCTCACCCTTTAATAGACACAAAATAAAACACCCTACAAACCAGAATAAGTAAGCTGTCGGTTCTCCAGCAATAGTCAGGCACGTTTCTTTCCTTTAAACAGAAAAGAAAAAAAAAAAGCCTTGCCTTGGCCTCAGTAGTCTGCAAACCAAATTAATCCTTCAGTTTTTTTTTTTTTTTTAAGATTTATTTATTTATTTGAAAGGCAGAGTTACAGAGAAGCAGAGAGTGAGAGAGAGAGGTCCTCCATTTGCTGGTTCACTCCCCAGATGGCTGCAACAGCAGGAGCAGGGCTGATTCGAATCCAGTAGTCAGGATCTTCTTCCAAGTCTCCCACATGCATGCAGGGGCCCAAGGACTTGGGCCATCTTCTGCTTTCCCAGGCCACAGCAGAGAGCTGGATCAGAAGTGAAGCAGCCGGGTCTCTAACCAGTGCCCACGTGAGATGCCGGCACTGCAGGCTGCGGCTTTACCCATTGCACCACAGCGCCGAACTGATCCTCCAGTTTTATAATGTGAAGCATGCCAGTGACATTAAAAAGGTGCCACTTTCTAAATAGCAAAGCAAGCTGTGTGAAAGCCCATGAGTTCCGAGCTAGTGTCTACTTGGCCCTTACTGCTGGCCTAAGTCGTGAATTCATGGTAGAATCCTACGATCCCAGGTTGAAAATTACAAGCAGGAAGATTGTCAGTGACTTGGGAATGAGTTGTGTGTGTGAGAAATGTTAGCCTCCTCACCCTTAGTTCTTCAGAACGGGGTCATTCACCTGCCACTAGCCGGTAGGGCGGCACCTGGGGCACAGTGAGCCCTGGACGGGGGTCGGGAAGGAGTCTGATGAAGGTGCGTTTCGGTAGGACTTTGCAGAGCGTCAGCTGTGTCCGGTGTGTGTGCACCTCCAACAAGGAGGCAGTGTCCGGAGTTTCTCACGTGGCGCTGCACACACAGTCTGGAAAATGTTGAGCCATGGGCAGAAGCCACACGCCCCAGTACGCCTGGCAGAGCTGCAGGAGCCCGTGGGCGGCCGGGAGAACACGGGCCCGTGGGGATGGAGCAGTGAAGACACAGCTTCTGAGAGGCAGCGAGCGCCCATTGGTTTGCTGTTGGATGGGAGTCAGTGGGGACAGTGGGAAGATGGGGACGGACTAGAGGTGGGAGAACGAGGGTCTGGTCTCGGCTCTGACCTCTCAGTCTTTCTCGTGTCTGACGCGAGGCACCTGGCTCTAGATCTCAGATTCTGTCTGGGACGCGGTGAGCTGGGATGAGAGACACCTAGTAGCCAAGCCATCTTGCTGATGGCACTTTGGGACCATGAGGCAGCCAGAGCAGACACAGAGGGCAGGGAACTTCCAAGGCAGCTTACACGTGTGGGAATCCGTCACGTTCAGGTGACAACTTGAGATCATATTTGTAGATACCTCGCGCCCATGATGGACTGCTGTCGTGCGTTTACTTGAGAAAGACCCGTTCTGTTCAAATACATCATCATCATTTAGGCTACACATCGTTTTAAAACAAGCAGAGGCCTTTGGGGGTGAAATGTGGCTTTGCCATTTCGGAATGTGTTTGGTTTCTTTTCTTTTTTATTTATTTTTCTGGAAAACTTTCTTGCCAAGGGTCAGTTCCGACCTAAAACATTGATGTTAGCACAGCAGGAGCCCAGGCGGTGAGCCTGTTCCAAGGTGACTGGCTCCCCTTCCCCAGGCCCCTGTCCTGCCCTTGTCTCAGAGCCTGGGGGCAGGGGAGGCAGTGCTGGTCTCTGGCTCCTGGAATTCTGCCTCCTCTTCCTCATTTGAAGTGTTGCCATAGTGCCTATGCCTTCTACCATAACCATTATTAAATGTTACTAATTTTGTTACTCAGGAGGCAATGGGACAGAAAGCGCCCATCTATTGCTTCATTCCCCAGATGCCACAGTGGCTGGGGCTGGGCCACGCTGGAACTCAATCCTGATCTCTTGTGGGTGGCAGGGCAGGGACCTGAGTATGGGGGCCTCACTGCTCTCTCCCAGGGTGCTAATTATTAGCAAGGAGCTGGATTCAGGAGCAGAGCCAGGGCTTGCACCCAGGCATTCCAGGATAGGATGTGGGCATCCAGTGGCTTCTTAACCATTAGGCCAGACGTGACTGCATTTTAAGTGCTCATTTGTTCACCCTGTAGCTGCCTAATTCGACTCTCAGCTCCTTGAAGTGAAGCTAGTGTATCTCACCATATATCTTTTACAATAGGACTTACTGAGGAAGTGCTACCTAAGTCTCAGGGCGGATCTCCCAAGGTTACTGTGGAAACTGGTCCAGCCTCCCCCCACCCCCATCTTCTCAGGTCTTCTGGCTGGACCATGGCAACCTGCACCAAAGCGTTCTTGTGTCCAAGAGAGCACAGGAGAAGAGTTGTTGCACCTGCTGAGGCTGCCCTAGACCTCTCACTGGCCATGACCGTGCAAGCCACTTATTTATTAGTGGATGTATTGATCATCTGGGCCCAGCTTCGAGTGCACCACCACTGTGACCTTAACTTCCTAAAACATGGCCTGGCGCTTCAGAGATGTTTGTTATTGAATAAATGGAGGGGCTTGGTGACGCACCTGGAAGCCAGCTTCTCACTGGGAGCCACCCAGCTCCCTGTGTGTCTGTCATCGCAGCAAGCTGGACACGTTTCTTTCTTTCAGGTGGCCTTACTGTGAAGCGTCTTGGCCCCGTGAAGTCTAGTGGAAGCCGTTGCTGAGGGGTAGATTTTGCTCCAGGTCCCTTGGGGGTCGGGGATGGACTGGGGAGGGTAGGAGTGCTTCTCCTGCCGGCCTGGCGAGCACGCTGCAGACGGATCCCTGGTGCTGCGCTGCAGTAAGACAGGCTTCTTTCGTATTCCAGTTTTGTCTTTTGTTTTTCTTTTCCTTCTCAGAATGGGGAGTTAGGCTGTTGGCACCAAGACATTTGGGAGTTTTTCATGCTCCATTGAAAACAGTCAGGTGGTGGGGCTGGCACCGTGGCTCACTTGGCGCCTACAGCGCCAGCATCCCATATGGGCGCTGGGTTCTAGTCCCGGTTGCTCCTCTTCCAGGCCAGCTCTCTGCTGTGGCCCGGGAGTGCAGTGGAGGATGGCCCAAGTGCTTGGGCCCTGCACCCCATGGGAGACCAGGAGAAGCACCTGGCTCCTGCCTTCGGATCGGCGCAGCACTAGCCATAGCAGCCATTTGGGGAGTGAACCAATAGAAGGAAGACCTTTCTCTCTGTCTCTCTGTCTCTCACTGTCTGTAACTCTACCTGTCAAATAAAAAAAAAAAGTCAGGTGGCAAGATCCCAAGAGTGCAAAGAGTTCCCCACTGTGCGCTTGCAGCCCCTCTGACTCCTCCCGCAGCTCTGGTTGTTGGAGCAATGGGCAGTACTAGTCACCCCTGGCACTGATTTGGGCTCATTGCTCACCAGGGCCTTGCCAAGCACTTTCTGTTCTATGCTCCCAAGATGACGCCTACCGGTGCTGTTGCCACTTTACAGATGAGCAAACTGAGGCTCCCAGAGGGACTCGCTGGCATTGCTTGGAACCCTTAACTCCAGGGAGGGTGAGAAGGAATGATGACATTTGTGTAAGCTGGTAAAAAGATGTTTGATTGTAAAGATAGCCTTGTATTAAAAATGAGACCTTCCTCCCTTGAAATTCCCTAGAAGCTAGATGTTCCTGCAAGTAATGTTAGAATTACGGACGCTGGCGTTTCACAGTCGGAGGGGAGCTTATCTCAACCCCATTCGCATTCTGGCATGAAACAGGCCCTAAGAATTTAAGCGACACTGAGCATGACGGCTCGCTCGGTGCAGTGCGCTTTTGAACATGTTTTTGTAGGCAAGGGAAAAAAAGAAAACTGTAAGCCCCATACACGAGCAGATGCTAACGTAATTTTTTTGGCTGGAGAGGAGAGGGCTTGGCCTTTCTTTCCAGTCCCCCTTCCATTTGCCACTGTTCCAGGGATGCCTTCCTAGAGCCCTGAGGGTTCCAGGGCAAGCAGAACACGGGGTCAAGACCCACGGTCCTAACATACTGTGTGCCTTTA